TCAGGGAGCTACAGTGCTAAAATAGAAAATAAATGCGCACCGCTTCTCCGGCCATGCTGAGGCCGCGTCCCACATACAGCAACTAGAAGGATGTGCCACTATGACATACGACTATCTACTGGGGAAAAAAAAGGGAGGAGGATTGGCAATAGATGTTAGCTCAGAGCCGGTCTTCCTCAGCAAAAAGAGGAGGATTAGCACGGATGTTAGCTCAGGGCTGATCTTCCTCACAAAAAAGAAAAGAAAAGAAATGCGTAAATTAATAAATGAGATTACTTGATAGCGTATGCTAAGAAGAAAATAAGACAGGGCAATGTGATAGACAAGAGTGATTTGGCGAGGGTGGAGGGGACGACATGGGACAGGTGGCCTGGGAGGCCTCTCTGAGAAGGTGATGCAGGAGCTGATGAGGAACCGGCCACAGGAGGAGCTGGGGAAGGGGTGTTCCAGGCAGAGCAAGAGGCACGTGCAAAGGTCCTGGGTCAGGAACAAGTTTCGCTGGGTTCCAGGAACCTCCAGGGCATCTGCAGTGCTGGGAACAAAAGAAAAAGAAGTTTGAGAGGAGGTGAGAGAAACAGGCAGAGCCAGATGGCGTAGGGCCTGCAAGCCAAGAGGAGAAGCTTGGATTTTGTTCCAAGTGTAATGGGAGGCCCTTGGAAGGTTTTGGGAAGGGGGGTGACATGATCTGGTTGCCATGTGGAGACTAGACTGCGGAGGGGCAGGAGCAGATGCAGAGAGCCCACCGAGAAGGCAAAAGATGACAGTGACCAGGACCAGGGTGGTGGCAGTGGAAAGAATGGACAGATTGGGGATGCATTCTGAAGAAGAGCAGACGCATCCCCATGTCTGGATTCCTTTCCCTGAAATGGAGCATCCTTCTCTGTGGGTGGTATCGGTCCCATTTGTGGTGAAGATCACCTTCTTCCAACTTCCTGTCAAATAGGGTGGAATAGGATAGGCTTCCTGGAGAAGGTTTCAAGAGAGGCTACTTGGTGATCAGGAGGAGCCAGAGGTCTCCACCTAGCATATGCTCCCTTTCTCTATGTGCATATCGCTCTACAGTTTACAAATGCTCACAACAAGGAGGAAAGTGAGGCTCAGAGAGGCAGAGAGACTACCCAAGGCCACACAGCAGTCCAGGGCAGGGCATATTGCCATCTTGCCTTTCTGATCCTCACCCCAGTGGCTGTGACATAGGCAGGATGGCGAGTACGGGCCCCTTTTTAGTGAAGGTAAAACTGAGGCCCAGGGAAATTAGATGGAACATCCTGGGGAGGGTTGTTTTAAGACCTTTGTGGACCCGCATCTATCAAGCATATTAAAATGCAGCCATATCAAACATCAAATGTAAATTATATATAGCCAGATAAAAGCCAAATTGCAGTCAACTGGCTGATATCATGTTCTGTTTTGCAGACATTTAATTAAACGTTTATTAATTTTGATTCTGCAGTTTTTCCCTGTGTTTTGGAGCCAATTTTTTTTTCGAGGCCTCAAATATTTTCCTAGGCCCATAAAAATCTCACAGGCCCTTGGCAGTGAGCATTAGGGCCGGCTGGGAGGAAGAGCCACAGTTTGGGGTTCTGTTGCCAAAAGGGGCAGAGGCTGAACCCAGGCCCTTTCGTCCCCAGGCTGTGGCATGGTCTGTCCACACTCCCTGCTGACCCCACGTTCTTGAGACTCAGAGGCCCCCTTTCTTCCCCTCCCTCTTTCCTGCTTCAGCCCACAGCTGCCCTTGGCTGGGTGAGCCCTTTGTCTGCGGCTAGCTGGGGTGTGGGGCCTTGGAGCTGGCAGAGGAGGGGGCAGGAGTGGGCGGGGAGGTGGGCAGGCAGCCTGTCAGGTGGTGATGGATGCTGGCCGGGCCGGGGCCTCCCTCATGCTGACCTGGGCCTGGAAACAGATGGTCTTCCAGCCTGAGAGAAACTTCCAGGGTGTCACCCTCCCCCAACTCCCCAGGCCCCTTCACGTTGGACCAGCTGGTCTTTCCTTCCTGTTCAAAGCCAGAGCCACAGGAATGGGGTTGGGCGGAGATGGAGGCCAGGAAAGGTGGTCTGTGTTCTGGGCTCCTCAGAAGCTCTGGGAACCATCTTGGTCTCTCTGCTAGCCCCCCACCTCTGGCCATCTTCAGCTCTGCTCTCTGCCCCTCCTCTGTGCCCTGTCATTTCAGGCCTGGACCAAACCCCAGCCTCTCCTGGCTTTCCTCCAAGCCAGCCTCCAGAGTGAGCTTTCTAAGCCACTGAGCTGATCACATCACCCCTGATTCTGGGATAGAATTCAGATTTAGAATAAAATACAAACTCTTCAGTCCAGAATTTGATGCCCTTCACAATTCTAGTCTTCTTATGCCCTTGCCCATGAAAACCCTCTCCTACAGGTCTGGCAAACCACTGGCCGTTCCCCTAAAAGGCCATGTTCTCTCATCCTTCTATGCCTCTATGCCCTTGACTCGGCTGCTTCTTCCACCTAGAATGCCCTTCCACCCCCCGTGGGCCTTTAAATGCCTACCCATGCTTTAAAACTGAGATCAAATGTTTCCTTCTCCAGGAAGTCTTCCCTGACCCTCTCCCCCAGCTAAAGTTACCCCTGTCTTCTCTGAGTTCCACAGCATCATAGAGCATCTATTTCAGCTTTTATCTTGTCTCTCTCCTGTGGGACTTTGAAATACTTAAGGGCAGAGGGCATGGCACATAGCAAGTGGTCAAAATATTCTTCTATATGAATGAATGACTCTGGCTGCAGGGATCCTTATGTGGGGGGTAGGCAGGCGCCCAGGGAATGGAAAATACAGGGAGACAAATTTCTGCTCATCAAAAGAAACACAATCCAGCCCTGAAGCTGCTCAGAAGCCGAAAGCCCTGCCTCGGGAGGTAGGGACTCCCAGTTTTGGGAAGCATGCGAGCAGAGGGTGTAAATGCACGAGGCTGCGAATTGCTGAAGGAATTTCTAGCATTGGATGGGAGAGTCAGACGGAGGGGCCTTTGCATTTCTTGAGTCAGCTTCTGAGGGGACAGGCCTCTTCCCCATCCCAGCTGCCAGTCCCATACTGTCTCACGTTGAGGGTGTGTCTACACCATCAAGTAATGCTGGAAAGAGCCCGCGATGGGAAGGAGAGCCCTAAATGGGACATTTCCAGCCGTGTTTTGGGGGCAGATTTGGGTCTGAAAGGATCTCCAGAGTCATCAAGCCCATCCCTCTTGTTGGCAGATAGAGAAACGGAGGCCCAGAGAGGGCCACACCATTGTTAAGACCAGGATACTCATTTTGGGAAATGCTGGGTATCAGCTGATCCCAAATTCCAGGGAGCACTGTGGTTCCTCCTTGGGCCACCAACACACAGTTGAATACAGTTGGTCCCCAAACAACATCCTGGACATGCCAGCACTTCACATGTGGGAACAGACCCCCCCAAATCCCTGGTTCACCAATTTCGGATTCAGGCAATAGGGTCACTCAATCTATGGGATTTTCTCCCCTTGTTTTTGAGGAGATCACGTCCAGAGGAGCCCTCTCTGATTTCAGCAAAGGGCCTGCCTGCCCCATGAATCAGAGAATTGAGGGGTTGGGGGGCAGGGTGTGTGGCTGCAACAGCTAGGGGTGGAGCTGCTGGGCAAGGAACTGGGGCAGAGAGAGGAAATCAGACCCGGAGATCTACATGGCCAGATCTCTTGTGGCCCTAATTGTCACTGCACTTTAGAGTTGCAAAGTACCTTTTCATCCATTTGATCATCACAGCCACTTTGGGAGGGGTTAACTAGGGCTCAGAGAAGTCGTGCTCAAGATCACACAGGAAATTAGAAGCAAAGTCAGGACTTGAACTCGGGACTGCAGAATCCCTTCCATACCCCCTACGGGGTTACCAGGATTCCGTGCAATGAAACAAGCTTGCAATCATGCACAAATTCATCCATTCAGTCAAAACAGACTAAGCACCTACTGTGTGCTAAGAACTGAAGGTACGGCAGTTAGCAAGCTGAACCCGTCATCCTCAGGGAGTTCAGAGTCTGGGGGAGATGGATACATAGCCAGGAAGTTACAACCTACTGTGACAAGTGCTGGGTTAGAGGAAGCCTGGGAGAGTCCCCTTCCCCAGCTAGAGGGTGGTCGGCAGAGGCTTCCTGGAAGCAGTCATGTTTAAAAGCTGAGCCTTGCAAGAAAAGCAAGAGTTATCCGGGTTTGGGACTAGGATGGGGTTGGGGCACAGGGCAGGGTGCTCCAGGCAGAGGGAATAGCAGGTGCAAAGACCCAGCAGTGGGGGAGAGCATTGTGAGCTGGAATCTGTGACCCGTACAGAGCAGTCAGAGCCTTGAGGTTTGTTGGAAGAAGAGGCCGGAGAGGAAGCAGCAAAGTCTCACATGCCAGGAGATCCATGAGCAGCTTCCAGGGGCCCTGCGGGGAGAACTGGGCGCTCAGAGGTGGGGCTGGGGAACAGGCCAGGGAGCTGCTGGTGGCAACAGAACCCAGGGCTGGCACCAGGCACTGTCCCTGAAAGAACCTATGTATGGATGAACTCTTTATGGTGTCCAGTGAGGGGCAGTGTTGTCTGATGGTTAGAGTGTGGGCCTTGAAGCCAGGCTGCCTGGGTTTGAATCCTGGTTCCACTGCTTCCTAGCTATGTGACCTTGGACAAGTGACATACCTCTCTGGGTCTCAGTTTCCTCATCTAGAAAATGGGGATAATAAGCTCAGTGCACTGTAAGGTGTCAGGAACCCTGCCCAGAAAGCAGGCCCCAACCTGCCCTAGCAGTAATGATGATGGTGCTGTATTAAGGGCTCTCTTTGTGCCAGTGCTCTAAGCTAACGAGCCCCTTCGGAGCTTCCCAGCAGCAGCGCGGTGAGGTGATCCTTTCAATGTGCACGTTTACAGCTGAGGAAGCGGGCTCAGCGCAGCGAGGGAATACACACTGCGCACCGCCCTTCACTCGCTGCCGGGCGAAGGGCGGGTTGGGAGGGGGCGAGGGGGACGAGCGCGCCGGGGCCTGAGCACTGCGTCCCTTCCGCAGGTACCTGCACGCCATGTACCTGGGGCTGCAGAGCCGCTGGCGCGGGGAGCGGCTGCGGCGCCACTTCTACTGGCGGATGCTGTTCGAGAGCGCCGACGTGAGCATGCTGCGCCTGCTGGAGACCTTCCTGCGCAGCGCGCCGCAGCTCGTGCTGCAGCTCAGCCTGCTGGTGCACCGCGGCGGCCAGCCCGACCTGCTGCCGGGTGAGCCCCGCCCCCTGCGCCCTCCCGCCCCAGGGCTCTGGGCATGCCCTGCGCCCCTGCCCCCCGGGGCTCACACACCTTCGGTATTCTGGCGGCCCCACTTGTCCACTCTCCTTGCTTCAGGCCCTCTGGGGACGCCCTGCGCACCCACCAACCTCCCCACCCGCCCGCTCACCTTCAGGGTTTTGGAGGCCCCGCCCTCTCACTACCCTCCGGGCCTCTGGAGACCCCCATGTCCCCTCCAATGGCCCACTTACCCTCAGTGTTGGGAGAGAGACCTGGCCCCTCCACCCCCTCTCCTCCTCTCAGGCCCCTGGGCGCTCCCCCTCCCCCTCCCCATTCCCATTGCCAGGGCAGACCAGAGCCCATTTCTGCCAAGTCCAAAGAGGCCCTTGACACCATCGCCACACCTCAGACCCTCTGGGGAGTCCCTGCGTGCGTCATTCCCCAAACTGTCCTGGTCTCAGCCTGCATCTCCTGGGGACCCCCTGCCTCATAGACCTGCCCAGTCACCAGAGGTTTCCAGAGAGCGTGTCCATCTACCCCCTCACTGCTCTTCAGCCTCCTGGGGACTCCTCCCAGGCCTGGGCCTGGTCCCCATGCACCCGCCCCCCACCTTGCCCCTTCCCCAACTCCACAGACCAGGCCACCCCCTTCAATAGCAGAGAAAAACTGCACCTCCAGTTTCCCTGGAGCTCCCCATGCCCCTCCCACCCAAACACTGCCCAACCCACCCCCGATGTCCAAAAAGACTCTATCACCCCCTCTCGGCTCCTGGGGACCCCTTGCCCAGGATATCGGGCCCCAGTGGAAACTCTTCCCACCCTGGATTTTCTTCCCGTGCCCTCAGCGGCGCTGAGCTTGGCCGTCCCTCTCCACGCCCCAGCCTCGTCCTGGTGGCCTGTCGCTTCTAATAGGCCCCTCCTGGCTCCTCCATGCCCTAATCTTGACCCCCTACTCTCCACCTCCTTTTCCACTCCCAGAGTCCTGACCCTAATTTCCCCCACCCACCAAGACCCCTGAACCCAGACACCCTGTGCTAGAGACCTGGATCTGCCCCTTGTGGAGACCCACATCACCCCCCTTTCCTCTCCTGTGCTCCCGCCTCTGCAGAAGTACCCCGTCCCATCCACTCTCACCCCCCAACATTGCTTTTGAAGACCACCCACCCAGACCCTCCTCACACGCCTCCTGATTTATAGACCCTTCCCTCACACCTCCTCAGAACCCAGCTCCTGACCCGGAACCCTCCCCCTCTCCCCAGACCCCAACCCAGACCCACCCCTAACCCAGCCCGCCCCACCCCTACCCTGTCTCTGCAGCCCTCTCCACCTCCGCCTCCCTCGTGTCCCTGGCCTGGACGCTGGCCTCCTACCAGAAGGTGCTGCGGGACTCGAGGGATGACAAGCGGCCGCTGTCCTACAAGGGCGCCGTGGCCCAGGTGCTGTGGCATCTGTTCACCATCGCAGCCCGCAGCCTGGCCTTCGCGCTCTTCGCCAGCGTCTACAAGCTCTACTTTGGCATCTTCATTGTGGCCCACTGGTGCGTCATGACCTTCTGGGTCATCCAGGGCGAGACAGACTTCTGCATGTCCAAGTGGGAAGAGATCATCTACAACATGGTGGTGGGCATCATCTACATCTTCTGCTGGTTCAATGTCAAGGAGGGCCGCAGTCGCCGCCGCATGACCCTCTACTACTGCATCATCCTGCTGGAGAATGCCGCGCTCACCGGCTTCTGGTACTCCAGCCGCAACTTCGCCACCGACTTTCACTCACTAATCCTGGTCTGTGTGGTGGCCTCCAGCTTCGCGCTGGGCATATTCTTCATGTGTGTCTACTACTGCCTCCTGCACCCCAACGGGCCCATGCTGGGTCCCCAGGCCCCTGGCTGCATCTGCCCTCAGTCCCCAGGACCCTGTGGCCCACCAGCCGATGCTGTCACCAGTCCCCCAAGGTCCCTGCCGAGGACTACAGGCGCCGAGCGGGATGGGGCCTCAGTGGGAGGCGAGCGTGCGGGGACCCCCACGCCACCTGTCTTCCAGGTGCGGCCGGGCTTGCCTCCCACACCAGTGGCCCGCACCTTGCGGACAGAGGGGCCTGTCATTCGGATTGACCTGCCTCGTAAGAAGTACCCGGCATGGGATGCTCACTTTATTGACCGCCGGCTCCGGAAGACCATTTTGGCACTGGAGTACTCCTCGCCCACCACGCCCCGGTTGCAGTACCGGAGCGTGGGGGCCTCCCAGGAGCTGCTGGAGTATGAGACCACGGTGTAGGCCACAGTCTCCCCCCAAAAAGGGATGAGCTTTGGCTGACCCCGCATCGACCACAGTGTTGAGCCCAGAATTTCAGGGCCACCAGGCTAAGGGGGAGTGGATCTGTTGGTCCAAGGGTAGAGTGGCCCCACCATTGGGTTCTTTCAGGGGAGGGGCAGCCTTGTGGAGGCCCCAGCCCTAGGCCCTGCTTTCAGCCCTGTGGCCCATTTCCTAAACTCCCCTGAACCAGGGCCCAGGGAATCAACTGGTGCTACACTCCTCGTGAGCTGCCCTACTTTCATGGAGGCCTCCATATCATGTCTGGTGCCAGGGGGCCCCACACCCTCTCCTCTGCCTGGAGTTGCCCACATGTCACCCCCTGTGGACCCGCCAGAGAAAGGGCACTGTCTAGGGTCCATGACCTAGGCCCTGTGCTCCTCAGGGGGTGTGGGGGTTGGCTGCCTCTGTGGTGGGAGGAGATCTCTGAGAAGGATGGAGGAGGCCATGGAAGATGAGGGGTGAGGTGGGAGTGTCTGATGGACAAGGCTGCTACAGTTCTTGTGGGGTCCAAAGTCTGGAGCCTGGGCAAGAGGGGAATTAAAGGAGGGAGTTGGGGTGGGATAGGGAGTTGGGGGTGGGGGGCTAACAGTGCTGGAGCTGGACAGGAGGAAGAACCCTGAGACATCTGAGAGGTCCAGGCTGGCAGAAGCATAAAGGGTCACAGATTTGAGGGAGGGGAACCCTCCATCCAGAGCACAGAGAGTGTTCCCAAAGTGGACTCCTCGGGAGACACTTTTTGTGATGCGCTCTATTATGGATAAGGTTCCAGACTCCTCAGGTGAAATGTTTCAAGGAGCCATTCTTTGTTCTAGGTGAGCATCTAGAACATTTCTTCTAGATAAAGGTCTTGAACACAACAGATAAAAAGTCTAGGGAGATACTCTGTCTGGTCTCAATTATAGATGAGGTTCTAGCACATTTAAGGAACTGTTCTAGAGAGACATTCCTAGTTCTAGATTAAGTTCTAGAACACATAGCTGATAAAATGTCCTAGGGAGTCACCCTGATCTGGATTCTGTTATAAAGGGTGAGGGCACTGGAGCCCTGCTGCTCTGCTCTGGGGCATTCTAGCTCCTGCCATAGTGGTGGGGGAGGGGCTCTAGAACCCCACATGAGTGAAATATTCTAGGAATCGGTACCCCAGTTCTAGAATACTGGGGTTTATAGGAGTTCTGTGCCCCTGTCCACCTTGATCTACAGCCATCTTCCCAAAAGGAAATCATCCTCCCAACCCGTGAGACATTTCAACTGCCAATTGGTTTCCAGCTGGAAAAAATTAGCTCTGGGGACGTGACATGAATCTTGGCTCTCAGCCACCCTGCAGATGCAGCTCCCTGGGGCGGCGGCTGGAAAATTGCCTCAGACCTGACAACCCTCCATTCCCATGGCCCAAACATCCCGGGGTGCCCATGGGACCACTCACCCAGAGCCCCTCCTCTCCACTTGGGACAACCAGTCCTGGATAGGGTAGGGGAGTATGGGAGTAGGTGTTCTGTGGGGTGAGGGGACAGAGCCTCTAGGCAGAGCTTGGAACATCCCCACCATCACCTCCTCACACACTAGGCCAACCACGGTGCTTTCACTGCAAGGACACAGCAGGTGATGTAAGGACAGATGCAGACCTGGGCCGGGGGTGAGGTGGACCATGAGAATCCTAGACTATGCAAATTAGAGGGGCACTTAGCCCTCTCTGGTTCAGCCTCCTTTGGGTTACAGATGGGAAACTGAGGCCCAGGATGGCAGCTAGTCTCACAAGGTCCCAGACTCCTGGCTGTCCCATCAGATAGTGATGGGGGATAGTGACTTTGCTGAGGATGCAGGGAGAGGGCCACACTCAGGGTGCAAGGTGACCCCAACGGCAGAGAGGGCAGGAGCGCCCACATTCACACATATACACAAGCACACGTCACACCCGTGACACAAGTCACCTCATCCCCCAGCACACAGGAGACTGCACAGACCCCAACACGGCCCAAGATGGGGTGGGCATCCTCCCACCAATGCACAAAGAATGCTTTTCCTTCCTTCTTTCATCTGCTTCCCTGATCTCTAAGAAGCCTCAGAAACTGGGCCTGAAGGTGATGGGTGGTGGGGGAAGCCCAAGGCTGACCCAGACCCCTTTGGTGGATTCACCCATCCTCCTTGTCCTCTGCCCAAATCTGTCTTCAGAGACCGAATTCCATGGCCAGGTACACACACATCAAAGCCTTTTGTGAGACGGGAGCACTGAGGATGTGGATCCAGATTCCGCTGACCATTTCTCCAGGCCGACTGTGCCAGGCGTGTTCACCCCGTGTGGTTTCACTTAAACTTCCCCTTGCTTGCAACATCCCTGCAAGAGAGGTGTTATCAACCCATCCTACAGAGGAGGAAACTGAGGATCAGAGAGGTGACATGAGGGTCACCCTTGGCAACTTATTTTACTCCCGGTATCCTAGAATGGCCCATCTGGTTGCCCCTAGGATTCTTCAGCATCCTAGAAGGAAAAGTGAAAAATATCCTCCCTGGGAGCTGGGAGTCCTTACAGCTCCAGGAGACGCCCAGAGAACCAGGGAAAAGGACGAGCTGGCAGTGCTGAGGCGTGGCTTGAGGCTCTCAGGGAAGCCAGGGCCACATTTTTGGACCTTATTCCATCCCCACCCCTCACTTTCTCAATCCCACAAAACCTTCCCTCAGGGCCTCTGCCTGCAAGGACCTCTGAGCACCGGAAATGGCCACAGTCAAAGGGCCAGAGGAGAGGGCTGCAGGCACCTTCTCCTGCTTCTCACCCTCAGGAAAGAGCTCAGCCCCATAAGGACTCCCCCACACACACCCAGGAGCTCAGGACCCCATCCCTCCCAGGCCTGAGGTCCCCCTGTCCACTGGCCTGTCCTCCACTTCACTTGGTCCCCACCAGTCCCCTCATTTCACTGGGATAGAGGAGTCAGGGTGAGGAGGGGGCACCATTCCATTCAAGCTGTTTTGTTTTCCTTTCTGTGACACAATCTACCTCAGCCCATCTCTCTTCCCTGCCAGAACTGGACCCCTGGGTCCCTGCGTCATGCTCCCTATTCCCTGTTCCCCACGCCAGGCTGGCTGCTCAGTCCTTCCCAGAATCCCTACAGGGTCCTTGTAGTGAGAGAAGGTTCCAGAACCACAGCCAAGAGGGGCCCTTGGGGTGCCCTAAGCCACCTGCCCTCCACATCGACTATAGAGAAGAAAGAGAGGCCCAGAGAGGGTCAGGGGCTTGCCCAATATCATACAGGAAGCCAGTGGCATAGTTAGGCTTTTCCTGGGGATGAGAAGTAGTTGGATCTGTCTTAATTTTGCCAGGAATAGAAGAGAACAGGACACTCTGGGTACCAAATATGCCAGGCTCTGCCCTTCTCTCAGTATCTCTACTCCTAGGAGACCTTGTCCCCATTCCCAGGGCAGATTTCTGCCTCCCAGTTTTGACTGAGCCCCCAGGCTGCTGACTATGCTCCGCAAACCCCTCCAGGCACCACACACCCCTCATTGCACCTCCAAGCACTGATGTACCATGTGCCTTGTGACTGTCACCCTGGTCGGACAGCACAGACCTCCACCCCTCCCCAGCAGGGGGCTCCCTACAAGGAAGGCTTTCTTGGTCCCCTCCGCTCATCTGCCTCATCCTTGTGTCTCCCTCAAGTCTGCCTTACCCCCAGCCAGCTCCCTGCTACACCTGTGTCCCACAGGTGGGATACGTCCAGAGGCGTATCACCCATGAGAGCTGGGGAAAGCAGAGTGCAGGGAGGGCGAGGCCTGGGGAATGTCCAGGTCTCAGGGTGAGGGCCAAGGGGGCTGGGAGTATCCAGGGAAGGTCTTCCCTGGCAGCCACAATGCCCTCCTAAGAGCTGAAGTCTCGCAGGTCCTTCCCTTGGAGCTCACCTCGGCTTGGAGTTCACAGAAACCTCAGGCAGTGGGGAGAAGATTTTCTGGGGTAGAGGTGCATGGGCTGCAAATTCAAATGCCTTCAGGTAATGAAAATGAGAGAAGTGGAGGTGCTAGACAATAGAGAGGGGTGGGGACTCTGGCAAACAGGAGAGTACATGCCCTGCCTATAAGCACTAAAATTCAAATTTTTGAAAAACCCTGTGCTGGCCAAACTAAACACTCATATTTGGCCCATGGGCGACCAGTTTGAAACCTCTGGTTCAAAATATTGAGAAGTTTCTAGGAAGCCCTGCAGAGTCTGGAAACCCCTCTGGGGAAGTCAGGGACGGAGGCCCCGGCTCCCTCTGAGACTTTTCTAGTCCGGTTCTAAACCCTCTCCACCTAGGCACCTGAGACCAGGCCCCACTGCTCTCTCAGCTAAAAAGGGGAGGGAGGTCTGGGTGTCCACAGGGTCCCTGGTTTGGGAACTATCATCTGATAAGGGCTACAGGCCCCCCCAGTGCCTGAGGGAGGCAGTTTAGGGGCTGGAGTCTTCTCCTGTTTGGGGGCCCCTGGTTAGGAGGAAACTGCATTGAGTGGGGGGACAGTCCAGGTACAGGATGAGGACTGAAAGCCAAGACCCAACTGCCCCCATCCTGTGCTGGCCCTGACTACACTTTGGCACTTGTCTCCCTCCCAGATAAAGCTGGGGCTTAGGGTAGGGGCTGCTCGGGGGTGCTATCAATTTCTGTACTAATGTGCTTTGTGATGTCTCAATGAAACGGACTGAGTGCAAAGCCACGTGGGCAGCAGTGGGGGTGGGGCCTGTGTTCCCCATTCCCAGCCAGAGACTTCTGAGACCCCGGGGCTGGAGGTACAAGGGACTGTAATGTGCCATTCTGGTTGGGGAAGGGCTAGGACATTCCTGGGTTCTTCGTTGCTGCAGGTGAGGGGAGGAAGAGCAGGAAATTGTGGAAATGAGAGAGAAGGCCAGGTCCAGGGCTAGCCTTGTTCCTGGAGACAGAAAACTCCCACAGGGTAGAGGTGTGGTCCTCCTGTGCCTGGCTTCATCCACCCTTCCCTTCTCATGGCACGCAGGGGGCTGCCCCTCTCCCCAGCAACCCTGGCCATTATTCTATGCACAATCATAAGGGCACCCCCAGGCCAGGCTGAAGAGGGGGCACGGGGTGGGGGGCGGGGTGGCCCTGGGGCACCTGCAATAATCCAAGTGGAGAGTAGCCTGAGACAAAAGGAGGTGAGAAAGGCACCAGGTGGGAAAAGGATATTCCTCCATCTTCCTCTCACCCAAATCCCAAAATCCAAACCAGACCTGTCTCCATTGGGCTAACCCACCAAACTTGGGAAGGCCTCACACACAGCCCCCAACCCCCTTGGTTTTCCAAACCAGTCATAAAATAGCTGGAAGGGACCAGAACAATTTCCAGAGCCCCCTCTTATTGTTTTCACTCCTGAGGATCCTATAGTTTGGGAGATTTTTCTCCCAAACAAGCCTGACTTCTTGAAGAATGATTAATTTTCCCACATTGAATTAACTCAAGCTGAGCTTCTGATTGCAGATAAATGCTGCCAAGGCCTCACGTTAGCTTCTAGGGCTTGAGGGTGGGGGAGTATCTGTATTCTATTGGAGTGTTTA